AACTGAGGTAAACATTTTACTCATGCGTCTGACATTCAAATCATACTCGGTCCGTCTTCTGTGTACTGAAAACAAACCATGCGCGGTTAGAAACCTCAGCGTGTGAATGCAATGGCTAATATAGCTTCCACAGTTTACCCGCTTGCGAAATATCAAACGACATACATAAAAAGCATGTATACTACATATTATGAAAATGTTTAAATATACAATGTTTTATATTCACTGCTTAACAAAACGCATATTAAATACTTAATACGACAATAAAGTGTACGTTTCGGCATTTTACAGACGGAAAACACCTGGTCGAAGAAAGTCAACAGGAGACAGACATGGATCGCGCCCAAAGTGACGATGAAGAATGAGATAGACTTCTTCCTGTTCAAAAAACGCCGCAGCATCGGAGACATGGCAAGAGTGCAATTATTTAGCACCGACAGTGATCATAGACTAGTGTGGGTCAGCCTACCCTTTGAGGAGAAAATCGGAAGTCACTGCAGATTGCAAAAGGATTTCAAAATCTGCAAGAGAAATAGAGGTCGATGACGAAAGATGGAACCGACACGGTGAAGTACTCTCTTTTCCGCTAGTTCATTAAATGGAAACTGCACAGAGAACCTCGAGACCTTAAGATTGCGAAAATGAGGGAAAACAGCAGAAGATCGCAAAAGCCTCAGATAATACAAGAGAGAGAAAGAGACAGAGAGAGTCAACGCTTTATCAGTCGATCATCACGTGCTAAAGAACGGAATGTTGTTTGCTGGGATCAACACGCTGAGTTGTTTGCTATACACCACTTTCAGGTACCTCGCGAGCAAGAGACAAATGGATCATGTTTTATATAAGACAGAAAATATTCTATAGTCTTTGTAGACTGTCTATCTGTGGCTTGTCTAATTAAACTAATAATAAAAATCGACATTTTGGAACGATCTGTCCATATCTTCTACGAAAGGAGGAAAACTTTAGAAGCATATACCTCCGGGAAAAGAGAAAAGTTTGACACACTCTGCGATATAAGATTACCTTAAAAAATAATGGTAAAGTCAGAGCAAATTCTTGTCCGACCTATGTTCATTTTTCCACCAAATCCGGTGATTCGAGCAAGCGCTCATTCATGAAAATAATATAAGAGGAAATTTATACTGAAAATGAGGCTAAATTTACACCGCTGTCGCCTATAGTCGAAAATCGAGTAAGGTAAAGTAATTGAGTTAGTAGTACAATGAAACTCTGAGTGCTGGCAAAGAGGTTCGGAGCAAAACCTTTTATGCCTGATGGCAGACCGCCGACCAGTGACCAGAGGTCAATTTTTAACAATCGACCTAAAGGATGTACAGGCGTAAATCATTTTGCAAAGAAAAAACCATTCCATTAGCGCTTTTACGTCGCTGCATGTCGTAACGCAAACTATGCTACGAACAACAGAGCTAGCTCAACGATTAAGTTTCTTTATATTGTACAAGTAGACAAAATTCCAGCTATTAGTCATATAATTATCAACAGATGAGGAATACAGTACGATTATCCTTATCATGAAAACGATGATAATCATCGTAATGAGTATGTTACCAGGATGCCATAGGAGAGACTAGTAAAGCGGAGTTTCCTGGTACTATTACGCTTTGTGATACAATCTCTAGACCTTAATGGACTGAGCCAAAACCAGAACTGTTGGAGAAACTTCATAAAGCAGTTGCCCGTAACCCCATATGAAATATTAGAAATTAAAAATAAATGAACGATGGTACAATCAAAATGACAAGGATTATCCACGTGGAATACTGATAAGACTAATTATGCTTATAATGGTAAAAAGTGCGATGACCGTCAGGAAGATAAACACTGAGTATGCTTATGACAATGACGAAAACATGGTCATGGCAATCCTATCAGTATAACAACGATAATGTTAATGATTGTGAACGATGATTACAATTATCCTAACGACAACACTACTGTGATGACGATGATTACCTTAACAGTTATTCTGATAATTACGGTGATGTCCAAGAATAGGTAATGACTACAAGGACGACGGTAATGATGAAGACGAAACTACAATGATCGTAGGCCCCATGAAATCGATTACGCGTATGATAACAATTATGGCCATGATCATACTTGGAACGACAACATGGCGCAAAGAAAAAGATGGAGCAAACGTGATCACAGTGATATGTTTATGGTGACGACGATGACATTATCCATGATAATCTTCGACAGTAACGACATGTATGATCATGACCTTTTTATAATTTATGAATTCACGTAATATGCTAACTTAGAAAAACTATACCTATGGTGATAACGACTGCGTAGATTTTGATCACGAGAGTAATTGTGTTTGCGGTTATGACAAAATAGATTATACTTATGATAATGAAGATAGTGTCGATGACGAACACGCTGACGATGAGTATGAGCATATATTGGCAAAAATAATGAATAATATGAATAATGAATAATGTCATGATAATCATTACGCCATTACGATAAGAATAACAATAACGGTGGTATTCATGTTAATGCTAAGCATAGAAACAATTACATTAATTGTTAATTATGATAATGACTGGTGAAAATGATAACAGTCTTCATCTTCCATAACCGCTTCTCCTTTCAGGTCGCGGAGGCAGACACGCCAGACAGAGCTTCCAAAGTTCCCGATCCTGTGCCAGAGCCTGAGCTTCGGTAAAAGACAAATGTAGTCTGGAACAGACTCCTTCCATATGTTAGCACCAGGTTAATCTTTGCCGTCCCCTGGGCCTTCTGCCGGTCGGATTTGCAAGAAACATTTGCTTAGGCTTCTATGCTAACAATGCGAATCGTAAATAGCTAGATGATAATAGAGGCAATGCTTATCATGTCGAAGATTATAATAAAATTCGTGATCATAATGAATATGAAAGGATGATGATGATAACAATGAATACGCTGATGATGGCAGCGAATACTTAGGATAACGACGACGCCGAAGAACAACATGATAACAATCTTTATACCTATGGTGATAATGATTATGAGTGATATAAATGACACTAACAATGATCCTGAAACGATTACGTTTGGGATGATAAAGATAATTGTTGTTGTGTTGGCAGCTGAGAATAAGAGTATGGCTAGTAAATAGTCATGGTAACAATGAAAATGCAACTGAAGGTGACTGTGAGGACATCCACAACTACGAAAAACATGTTAGTGTTCCCCTAGCGGTCACGATTAGATAAGGATACTTGTGATTATGATTTGATTATTGCGAATAGTGTTTATGAATATAACGGAAATGAGAGTGATGATGACGATAACGATCATGGCTATGAGGAACATGGCTACGTCCTTATAACAACGATGACGGCGATACAGACAGCGATGGCCACGATTATGCACATGATTGTCACTACCGTACGACAATAATGAACAAACCTATAATGGTAACGATGCCGATAACCCAATGACGATTAGATTCATGACAATGCTGATACTGGTATAAAGAATTTTATGCATTTGATCACAGCAATCCACAATTACGTTTATGACTAAAACCGTGAGTGCAACGCTTACCAAGATTGACTTCATGAAAAAAATTATGATGAGCATAGTAATGATGAAACCTACGTTTAAGGACTACCATAGCAATGCACTTTAACGCTTCTGCTGATAACGATGTAATAGCGACGATCACGAGAATGATAGTGATTATTAATGATTCGATGACAAAAATTATGATAATCACGATTGTATTTATGGTGAAAACCGCGATAATGATGAATATCTGATGAGTAAGATGATGAAGTAGATGATCATAACTGATACTGCGATTAGAAGCATGATCGCGTTTATAATCATTGGCACTCTAATCCGATGATAGTGATTTTGGAATCTTGATAGTAACGATGAAAATAGAAATCTCGATTGCGCCGTGATGCAGCGAAACCATGGGGAAGACACATTTATTAATTATTTTGTATGCAAGTGTCGCTTTTCTCTGAATTTATAGGCGTATTTGGGCTGTTCTCTCACTTCCAAAGACTATGGGGCATTTTAAGCTGACCATGATTACATCTACTGACAACATTTGGAGCACATGAATGCAAAACCGCATGTTCTATCGAATATCATCTAAAGTACTTTAGCCGGGGTAGAAATATATCGAAAAATTTTATGCCATTATATCGAATAAAAAATCTGGTTTCGAGAGCAAATAGGCGTCTTTCAGAAGAAGTTTCCAGGGGATTTATGTCTGTAAATCAAAGCCCATAAAATTACTGAATTCAAATTAACATATTTTCTATATCGCTTAAATGATTTAACCAAAAATTCTGGAAATCGGTCAGTGGGTGTGTGAGTCATTTCAGATCACTGCTTCTCCTTTCGGTTCACAGAGGCAGAAGCATCAGAAAATGTCTCCAACGTTGCCGATCCTGTGCAAGGTCGGACCTTCGGCAGAAGGTCACCACCATTTTGGCTGGAGCAGCGTCTTTGGAGACGTTTGCTTCAGTTCACTGTTGGAAGTCCGCCCCCAGTGCCTTCGTCCGGCCGGTTTAGGCAAGGAATAGTCGTTTCGCCTTCCATTCCAAAAGCATTCGCATTAAGTACAAAAACGATCACAGTTGTGACTTTTCTATCTAGAGAAACAGTCGCTGTACACCAAGAATCTATCGAATATCTGTACCCTGGACCTTGTCGAGACGCATGAGCATAATCGTCTGAGGCGACTTTCGCGAATTAGCCCAAACCATTGTGCTACGGTGAGTCTGAAGATCAAGCTCTATGTGTCCAAGGCTAATGCCGATGCACACCTCCAGTCATAAGTCATCGACCATGGCTGAAGAACTTCGAGCTTGGACAGATGTGGCTGAAGTGGGTTTTCTGACACAAGCCACCACTATAGCACATGTTTATCGAGCGTACAAGGTATTTCGTTATATACTTTTAAAAAATAACGTTTTACTCCATGAACGGAAAAAATCTCGGTTAAGAATTGATGCTGAACAAACTTAAGTTTTTGATAAGCTGACTGATACCTTTGGAAGTGGTAGTGCCGACGTGTGAAGGGGATGAGGCAAGAGAGTGGCTGGTTTGATTGGTGGAATCAGACGGGAACAGAAAAACATGAGGACGGCAACGACGACAATCGTAATGGAAGTGAGCGGTTGGAAGTCGACCGGCGCCATTTGTGTTGTAACAGGCAGCAGTCGTGGCTGGAGGCGTTCAAAACGGAGATTCGATAGCGTGACCATGACAAAGCCGCCATAGCAGATGGGAGATGGTGGTGACGACTGGAGCTGGGGCAGCTGCACGACAGAACACAACACGACATGACGCGACGGCAAGGTCATCATCATACTGCGGGTTCTGGAGGACGGGCCACAGGCGACGGCGAAACTTACCCCTCGTCGCCATCGTTGCGTGTCAATGAGGTCG